GTTCGAAATATCCTCTGAATTGGCAGCGGGAAAACTGCTCCTAATGGGTGCTCCTGCCAGTGCTAGGCCTCCTGGCCGAGGGGGGGCCACAGCGGCCCCAGGGCACACCCCTCGGTCGCCGAGGGCAACAGAATGCGGCTTGACAGATGCCAGGCCTGGGACCCTGCAGGAATCCGTGCAGCCTCTGAGCTTACCTCACCACACGTCCTCTTCCCAGTCCTTGACCTCCCCTCCCCCATCCCCTAGTCCCCATCCCCCATCCCCCCACCGCCCCTCGCTTCCCTTCCCCTGTTCTCGCTCCCTATTCATCCCGGAGAGGCAGGAGGTAAAGGTCGGGGAGGGACGGTGTGAGGACCGAAGTAGAGTCCGACCTTGTAAGGGGGAGAACAGGAGGATAGTCGGAATACGCGGTGGGAGGGCCGCGCGCGGGGATGGGGCCTGGCGGGGGGACGCGGGCCGCCGCGGAGCTCGGGCTGCGGGGTCCGCCGGCCACTGGAGGCCGGGATCCGACCGCCCGGGCTGGGTCCCGGCAGGGGCAGCTCCTACCTGCGCGGGGAGGCCCCAGGCCCAGGTGGCGGAGGTGGCTCAGGCTGCAGGGCTCGGGCTCCGCGGCGGCTTCTCCATCACAACATCCCCCGCCCAGGAGCGCGCGGGCCGCGGGGCCGCGCCCGGAGCAGCGGAGGCGCGCGCGGGGCAGCGGGTGGGGGAGGGGCGCCATCTTGGGCCGGACGCGGGCCGGGGAGCTGGAGCCCCTCGGCGGCGTCACTGGTGGCAGCCGAGCGGAGGGCCCCCCCCCTGCGGGACCCTCGGGCCTCGATGAGTCCAGCGGCCCAAAGCCCCTCGCCGGCCGCCATCCCTGCGCCCGGGTCCCACGGTTCCAGAGCGCTGCCCCAGCCTCCGCCGACCCCCGCCCAGCCCGGCACCGCCCTCCACCACGAGGCCTTGGACTCATCCTGTGCGGCCCACAGGGCCCCGGCCCCGCACCCCGGCGGGGCGACTCACCGAGGGGTTGGAGCGGGAGCGGCTGTGGCAGTGCCAGGGCCGCGGCCGCGCGGGGAGGGGCTCCGAGGAGGCAGCCTGCTCTGCTCTTGCGGCAACACTCCGTGACGTCCTGGTGGAGAAGCGATGAGGGCACAGCGTTGGTGATAATAATAGCTCTTATTTAGTGGCCGCTTACACGGTGCCAGGCTCTGTGTTAAACCCGTTATATGCATTCGTCCTCACATCAGCCCTGTGAAGTCGCCACTATGATCATCTTCAGTTTTCAGAGGCAGATGCTGAGGTTCAGAAAGGTAAAACGACTTGCCTGCAGTCACAGGTAAGTGGGGGAGACAACCTGGAACCCAGATGTTTCTTAACACCCTGCCACTGCTGCTGAACATGAAACTGTGACACCAAGGCCTTGCAGGTGTGAAGAATGAATCGCTCCCCGGTGGAAATTCACAGGAGGGAAGGAAGAAGGGGGAATGTGGATGAAAAGTGTGAAGGAAGGAATGATGGGGCCCAATATTGCACAGACTCCCTGGATAGTGAGATAGTTCCCAGTGGTCAGGTCAGCGGCACAGAGGCTTTCAAAGATAGTGAGGGGGAATATTACCATCCAGAAGCCCTCTCCTGGCTCATTCCTCTAAAGCAGACGATTTAATTTATTGTAACTACTAAGTACTGAGCAACTGACTCAAGATGCCCTCAAGGTACCTAAAACTAAAAATGTCCAAATCTGAATTCATTGTCTCATCCCCTTTATTGGCCTTCTAAGAAGTTTCACTGGGGTGAAAAAAACCCTCCCCAGTGCATGTGTGCACGAACACGAACACACACACACTCATACACAAACACACTCACACACACACACAAATACACATACACACGACTGGATGCAGCTCCACTTTATCCATCCCAGTGAGTGGCACCACCATCTACTGCTTGCCTAAGCCAGGAGCCTCAAGGTCATCTTTGACTACACTTTCACTTGATTTGAGGTGAATATAAGTGTTTTAACTTTTTGTTATGGAAAATTTCAAATATATGTAACATAAAGAGACAGAACAGTATAATGAACCCTCATATACCCATCATTCAGCTTCAAACATTATCAACTCCTGGACAAGAATTTATTATGAATTGACAAACTTCTATGATATATGAATCATGTACCAAGTCCCAAGCTAAGTCCTAGGGACCCAAAGATGAATCAGATTTGACTGTCACCCAACCGGGAGGGTATAACATGTGACCTTTGTCCTTGAAAGGTGAGTAAGAGTTACCCAGAAGAAGAAAGGTGTCCTCATTCATTTGATCATTCTCTCTCAACAAATCATCATCATGTGGGAGGCACTGTCCTTGGTGCTAGGAACTTGTAAAGAAACAATATTGAGTCCTTGCCCTCAGGGAGCTTGAATAACAAGGGAAAGAGATATTAAACATATTAGAAATGTGATGAGTATTTTGAAGATGTACATGATGCTATGTGAATGGACTAAATTTGGTCTGGGGAGGTTTGGGAAGGCTTTCATATGGAAGGGCACTTATGTGAAGGGAAGGGGTGAAGGAGATAGAGGTTATCCAAAAGAAGAGAAAATGATTCCAAGTCAAAGGGGAAGTCCAATAATGGGTGGCCGGTATGGGTGTGGAGAAGAATGGCATAAGGTGAGGTGGAAAGGTGGACAGGTACCAAATCAAGGAGGGCCTTGTATGTTAGGCTTAGGGTTTTGGATTTTATTTTAAGGGCAATGGAAAATCAACATAGAGTTTGAGGCAGGGGAGGGGCATGTTCACCCTTGCATTTTAGATCACTTCTGGCTGCTAAGTGGAGGATAGATAGGAGGAGAGCAAAACTGGCAGGGTGGAGACCAGTTAGAAAGCAATTGATATAGTCTAGGTAGGAGATGACTATAGTGGTGGGAGTAGGGATGGAAAAAATTGCATAGGTTTAATAAATGTTCAGGAGGTGGAATTCACAAAAACTGGTGATCAGTTGATTGATCGGCTATGGTAGTATAAAGGGAAGGATGACTTCCGGATTTCTGCTTGAGCAAATGAAAAGAATCCAGAAATATCGCTCATTTACAAGCAGCCCATCAGAATACTTGTCTTGCCAGTCCCATTGAACAGAATGGCTTCAGTATCCAGGGAAGTCTCTTCAGGTAATCAGAGGTTCGCAGATAGGATGGTCAGGATGGGGAGAGGAGTCTATTTAGCTAAGATGAAAAAAGTAAAGTGTGCCGTTCACACACAGTGCAGTGTGACCCACACACCATCTTCCTGAATCCCTGATCTCCTAGGTCTGCAAAGCCTCCTGATCAGTGGGGAGTCAACCTGTGCCCTTCATCCATCCCTTCTCTATTGTATCACATCCCCCTTCTGATGCTTTCTAGAGCAACCAATAGCCTATGAGCCACCTCGGATGCTATGTGTGGTTTTGACCAATGTGGGTCCCTCTGAGGCAGCAAACTTTTAAAATGATTACCTTGGACCTATCAGGAAAAACTTGAATTAGAAGCAAATCCATCCAGAGTCATTAACCAAGAGTACTGGCTTTATGCTATTTGGTTTGCTAGATCAGCCTGGTGGACAACTGCATTACCAGGCAGTTGGCACCCAAATCACCTGTAGGGAAGAATAGAGCTTACAACTCAATTAGTGGCAAAGACACTTTTGGAGCAAAGGCAGCCTTTTCTACCACTACATGTAAATATTGCTTTGATATTGTAATTTTTCTTGTAGTTGATCCAATAAACCCTCTTTCTTCAGGGTGGTTGTTATCATTTGGGAAGTCCAAAGGAGTAGAATCTTCCTACATATTATATCGCAGTGGAATTCATCAGCCAGTTGCTAGTCCTGGCAAGGACTTCCTCAACACCCTTCTTGAACAGGATTGTTCTAATACATTCCCAGGAAGAGCATATAGGATGAGAAAAGAAAAGGATGGAGGATTGAACTCTGGGAATGCCAGCATTTGGCAAGCCAGCAGAGGAAAAGAAGGCCAAGAGGAAAGCTGAGAAGAAACAGAGAGTAAGAGACGATCAGGAGAGAGTAATGTCATGGAGGAAATTCAAGGGAGGAAAGACTCAAGGAGGAAGACATGGTCCACAGCATCAAATGCACTGCCCTGAACATAGGAGGTACTAAATGCATGGATGGAAGAAGCATGAGTTGGACCTTTTCTGGGAGTCCTTGGACACAAGCTAGAGGCTTCCCTGCAACAGAGCAGATGGGAGAAGAGAAGAAAGAGGAGACTTAAGTTCTCCTTTCTCAATAGAGAGGAGGAAGTTAACCTTGAGTATCCAGCAGAGTTGCTGGATAACTGTTTAGACACCTCTAGCCTCCCTGACATGATGCAGGGATGGCCCCATAGGTGACACATGGACTGAATAAGGCCCAGAACTGAGACTCTGGCCTTGTTCTCACCCCTCAGACTGAAGGAGGAGCAGCCATCCCATGAGGAGAACCATCCAGACATCTTCCGGGTTGGAAAAGAAAGCTCAAGACACTCCTTGGAAGTAGACCCCACAGCCCTGGTGCCTGGCCCCTACCTTAGTTCCCAGCCCCAGCCAACCGCAAGTGCTGGGTGGACCCTGATCTAAGGGGCCCAGGTTCATCCCCTGCTTCCCTTCCTAGCTATTGAGGCTGGGCAAGGAACCTCAGGCAATTCAACTGAACCGCAGGGGCCTGGTGCCTATTGGGAGCCACTCTATGGCCTGGCCTCCCAGTGCAAAGCTTGTCCATCTACTCTTCTACCCATGAAAGAGCAGGAGGCCACCAGGTCAGGAGGGGCTGACCCTAAACCAGGAGAGGCCATGGGCCAGAGTGTGGGTATCCTTTCAGGCCCCTTCTGGAGGGAATCCAAGAGATGGGTTGAGTCCATCCATACTCATTGTCACTGGGAGGTGTCTAGTATTATACCCATTTTATGGAAGAAGTCACTGAGGCTAAGATATGGAAGCTCAGAATGAGGGCCCTCTGCTAGAGTCTGAGGCTATTTTTTTGAGCCTAAAACAAACAAACTTTCAAGCTCAGGTGGGTTGGAAACGTAGAGGAGGAAAAGGGTCTCACCTGAGACCCAGTTGTCTATAGTCCAGGCCAATCCCCAGTCAAATGGTTGTCAGTAAGTTTGGAGCCTAAAGCCTTGGTCAGCTTATGACCTGAAAAGAACAAACCACTGCAACCTCCACCCAGACGACATTTGCTGGCCTAGATGGTGCAGATACCCAGGGGACTTAGCCAGCAGGACCCCCCAAGGGCTGTGTGACATTTTGCAAATGTGTTTCATGGTGCCACCTCCCCGAATCAGGCTTCCTCCCCTTTCCCCAGCTTGCCTCAGGTGAGTGAAAACACTCTGTTTTCATTCCACTTGTTATGCCTAACTCATAGCAACCAAAGACTTGTCTTCTGGAGTGATGCTCCCTGAACCCCCTGGACCTACAATTTGAGGGCCCCCACGGCCCTCCGTGGCAGCACCGAGCCAACCCACTTTGCACAAACGTAGCCGCCTCCAGCCCTATTTTCCCAATGTCCTGGGGCCAAGCTGTGGTCAGTTATTAGCAGGTGGGGGCAGAGTCCCTGCTCTGCCTCTTACGTGCTGGGTAGACACAGGGCTTCCTTTCTCTACTTTTGTTCCTCTGTTTCCCTCTCTGTCTCAGTAGTCTGGAAGAAGTCAGTTTATGACCGGGGTTCAGGAATCACCTGTGCAGAAATGAGGTCTGTCCCTGAGCCCTCCCCTCCCTGGTCTCCCACAGCCTATTTAAGAGCCTCCAAAGAGAGGTTACGAGCTGCTCAACTCAAAGAAAGAAGGGAGATTGTTCCACAACCAGGGCCCTTTGATCCAAGCGAGGGAGCACTCTGGCTTTATTGTAAGGAAAACCAGGAGAAGGAGCTGGGCCAGCCTCACATCAGCAGCGCTGTCAGTGAGGGCAACCCAGGAGGCTGTTTACTTTCTGGGGCTGGGGAAGGGCCTTGACCACATTCAATTTCTCCACGTCTCCGTAGCAGTACAAATTGGGGCCTTGGACGAGGTACAAGCCGAGACCATTGGCGGAACACGAGCTGGGGCCCAGAGACTTTTCCGTACACAGGACCGTGTCAACCTTTTCATGGGGCCAAGGAAGCTCTGTCCACGTGGCTTGAGCTCCTAACTTCAGGTCCAGCCACCACAGCCGCCGTCCTGGGAAGAAACACCGGACATAACATGGCTTCCACGTCATGGGGATCCTGACCTGGCTCTTCTCACGCCATGACGGGGATCTGTGCCACGGAGAAGTAGCAGAACAGGCCCCCCCTCAGCGCCCGACACCCCTCACCTGCCATGATGTGGAGGCGAGAAGACCCAGGACAGGTAAAGGCTGCATCCACAGTATCAAGGTTGATCCCATGAGGGCTCCCGAATTCCTTCTCCAGCCGCTTTGGATAACCATCTACTAGGATATAGCCTCCCTTTGTCAGGAAGATATATACCTGGGTGCCCTGGAGGACAAAGGACATTAATCAGCACAGAGCTGGGTATTTTCCCAGTCTCCACCTCATGCGTCACTCCCAACACACACCTGGATCAGATAGAGCTTATCATCCCAGGAAAAGGCAGTATCCACTGTTGAAGGACCATGGGGCCACAGATGCTCAATGGGCCAGCTATGCCACCCGTCCTGGCTGGTGTCCAGACGCCAGTAGTGGGATCCTGTGGGGTAGCAGAGGTACCTCTAGTACTGGTGGTAAAAGGCCAGGCAGTGAAGAGGCAAGTGACAGAGGCAGGGGTGAGTCTCGAGAGGGAGGAAAGAATGCATCCAGAGGCCAAGAGGGAAGAGGCCATGTGAGGAGCTGAGGAAGACTTGGTTGGCAAAGTTGGGCATTGTGACCTAATTGGAATCGGAGTCAGTAGGGGCCTGACGGAAGGGCGAGCTTGGAGAACAGTGGCCAAGTTGCCAGGTAAGGCCAACGTCCGTCATGGGGTTCAGTGGGGTCTCCTTATGCATCTCAGATGTCTGTGTGCAGAGATGCTACAGTGAGACAGTGGCCAGGAGTTCAAAGGGAAGCAGCGCAGCAAGCTTCCCCTAGGCGTTCTCACGCTGGCTGTGTTCTCTAATCCCTTGAGATGGTAGGATACGGAGGGAGTAGCCAGACCAGCACCCTAATTTTCCTCTCCCCTTTTCATAACAGCTTATTAGAGGAATTGTCTAAACTCTCATTTACCTTTGCTTCCTCAGCCCACTTCACTTACATTCCTGTTTCCCTTTGCCATTGAGATTTCTCTTTTCAAGGTCACTAGTATCCTCCAACTTGCCAAATCTAATGTCTACATCTTACTCTACCTCTCAGTGGCATTTGACTGCTCACAGGTCCCTTCTTTAAATATCTTTTTTGGATCTTGGCTCTGTGATTCCAGACTCTTCCAGGGTTCTTCTTAACTTTCTGACTCCTCTTCAGCCTGATATCTATTATTGGAATCCCCCAGTTGGGACCTCTGCTCTATGTATACTCACTCTCTTCGTGATTTCACCTAGTCCAAGGCTTTAAACACCACCTATATACTGATGACTTTTGATCTGTTCCCTTTGGATCTGATGGACTGCTTCTTTGAGTGTCAGGCGCAAACTCAGCTGCCTACCTGACCTGTGCATTTGGGACCATTAGACACCAAAACCCTAATGTGTCCAAACTTATTTCTGCCCCCACCAAACACACACACACACACACACACACACCTCCTTCCCTAGTCTTTCCCAATTTTAGAAAAAGAAACCACCAGTCACCTAGTTTCCCAGTCCCTAAAAGCCAAGTCATTCTTGAAACCTCTCTTTCCCCTTCCCCACTCCGATCAATACCCAAGGCATTGGTTAGATGCTATGGGCCCGACTTCCAGAATACGTCGCGATGACCCCTCACCACCTCTGCTGCTGTTATCCCAGTCCAAGCTGTCATCACCTCTAATCCAGACAGCTGCAAGAACTCCTTGCTGGATTCCCTGCTTACACAATTGTACCTCTGTGACTTATATTCCACAAGAAGCCAGGATGATCTTTTAAAAAAAATAAGTCATGGGCTTCCCTGGTGGCGCAGTGGTTAAGAATCCGCCTGCCAATGCAGGGGACACGGATTTGAGCCCTGGTCCGGGAAGATCCCACATGCCACGAAGCAACTAAGCCCGTATGCCACAACTACTGAGCCTGCGCTCTAGAGCCCGCGAGCCACAACTTCTGAAGCCAGCGTGCCACAACTACTGAAGCCTGCGCACCCTAGGACCCGTGCTCCGCCACAAGAGAAGCCACCGCAATGAGAAGCCTGCGCACCGCAACGAAGAGTAGCCCCCGCTCGCCACCAGCTAGAGAAAGCCAGCACACAGCAATGAAGACCCAACGCAGCCATAAATAAATTAAATAAATAAATAAGTAAGATAAAAAGACAGATGCTTAAAAAATAAGCCAGAACATATCACAGCTCTGATCAAGAGCCCTTCCCGGCTTCCTTTTACAGTTGAAAATCCTTACCAGGCCCATGTCATCTGACCCCTGCCTCCCTCTTTTCAAGCCACTTACCTGGCTCCTTCTCAGCGTGTCAGCCACACTGGCCTCCTTTCTTGCCTCCCCGAAGTATTTGCTGTCTACCCTCCCTAAAATGCTTCTCCTCCAGTGCTTTATGTGGCTAATTCCTTTTGATCACTGAAATCTCAGCTCAAAAATCGTCTCTTCAGTGAAGGGGCCCCTAATTCTCTTCACCTCTATCCCATTATCCTGTCTTATTTTTTTCACAGCTTTTTGGGGACACTTAACATTCTTTTATTTTATATTTTAAAACATCAACGACTCATACATTCATTTATTCTAGCTTCAAATGGTATTTGAGAATAAGAAGCATTCTGATGTTCCCAGAACACATCACAGCTGTTAACACTGCCTGAAAGTATTCTCTTTCACTTTCTCTTTTTTACTGTCCTCTCTCCGTCTAGCAGGCTCTCTGAAGGCAGGTGTCTCATCTGCCATGTTCACGACTGTATCTCAGTGCCTAGAAAAAATGCCCAGTGCCTATCAGGTGCTCGATTATTTTTCGGTGCTCGAAAAATAGCTGGTATTCCCAATGCAACCACAAGTTCTCCTTATGGGTATTAACTGGGCAAGTCACAGTAACTACATATCCACCTTCCCCTCCTGCTGAAACTACCCTGCTCGTGGCCCCTATTTGGAGAATCAGAGCTGCGCTGCATTTTGTGCAGAGGAAGTAAGTGCTGAGCCCCCAGTCCATTAGAAGTCGATGCAGAGGCCGACCAGCGGCCACTCGAATGTGGTCTGGAATAAAAATATGGGCTGAGCCAGTCCCATTCTCTCTCTGGAAATCCAAGTAGGAAAAAGAGCCAAGGCAGTTATCAGTCGGATCTGAGGCTGAAAGATCCTGACTAGAGAGAAAGTAGAGAGGGCGTGACGGTCCCTGTGCGAGCCGAAGTAGTGACAAAACAGAAAGAATGGATTAGCAGCTATGAGGTACAGACAAGAGATTTATCAATAAGGGAGAGGAGAGGACCAGCCCTGTGCTGAGTGGCTGGGTCACACTGGTGTTTTCACCAAGATAGTGCGTTCCCACCTCAGCTGGGTATTTTTAACATAACAATGTTCTCTCAACAGCTATAGAACATCTCTAATACTCCTGATTTAGGAATTCAGCTGCATTCTACTTATGGACACATGGTCTTGAGGTTCCGTGATCTCTCCATGGCTGGGTGTTCTCTCTACATCTCTGTGTGGTCCCTGTGGCCCTATTTTCTTAGCGTCTCTATCTCCATATCTCTCTCTGTCTGTTTATCTCTCTATCTCTGTAAGCATTGCTATTTCGCTTTGTGTATGTGTCCTCCCCGTGGTGCCTCGCTCTCACCATAGCTGCATGTTCTTGTGACACTTTTGTGTTCTTACTCTGGCATATATTCTCAGCATAGGTCTACCTTTTCACTACAGGTGTGTGTTTCATCACGGAGGCACGTTCTCATTACAGCATGCATTCCTGCTGTGGGCATATGCTCTCCTTGCAGCTGTGTGTTTTTCATTATAGCTTCGTAGTCATATCTGATCAGATTTATTCAGGGATTAGGAGCAAGAAAGGATTTTCACTCTTCTGTATTCTCACCACTATTTTACATTTGTGTCTGATCATACATATATCTTAGGCTGAGTGTAATGTGGTAGGTCACTCCTTCTCTTGGAGCTGTCCTCAAGTATAGATCAAGACTTATCACTACCTGTCTGACTAGCCCCAGAACATCCTTAGGTATCATCAGATGGTTTTTAATGGCACAGGTCTGGGGAGAGGGGTTTCTCCTGGTCACTCAGAGGAGAAATCTCTTCAGGCTGGTGAAACTATTGCCTAAAGGTCTAAGGGACTGAACAGTTGTTGGCTGGTTCTCAGCAATGGGAACATCTCATCCCCAGGTAATGCTGTGCCCAGAGGCCTGCACATAGGAACCAGGCACCTGGAACAAGATGGAGCTCCTGATGAGAAGCTCAAGGTGGGGAGGGCCAGAGGACCCTGCGAGACGTGCAAGAGCAAAGAGAATACGAGGAGTCATGGGGCCAGGAGGTCCCTATGTACCAACAGATAGTACTGGGAGGCAGACAGGTGAAGCTAGAGGCCTCAGCGATGAGAGACAGGTTGAACCATATGCATCGGACGAAGTGAGGGGCGAAAAGGGGCGTGATAGCGTGTAAGGATGGGGGCCGACGGGACAAAATATGGGGCACAGTGATGAAAATGGAGGAAATGTGCCAGAGATGGGAGACACACGTGAAAGAGACGGGAGGTATGGAGGGCAGAGATGGGGGAGTTGGAGGGCATCTCTTACCACTGAAGGCATAGGTGGCACCGTGTTTGTCAGACAGCAGTGCAGACAAGACTAGATCTGGGCTACAGCGTTTATCCCCATGGCGAGTCGCGTTCCCGTGTGCATGGCCTTGGGGGAGAAATGGGTGAGGGGGAACACAGGAAGGCAAGAGGTCAGAATGAGTTCCGAGGTGGAAGAGATGGCTGGGGTTATTGGGGGTGCAGGTTGTCCCCATATGAGGACAGCTGGGGAGAGCCAGAATGGAAGTGGAGCTAGGGCAAGGGCCAAGGTGTCATTCCACAGGGTGAAGGTAGGAGCTGGCTTATGTGGGGTCCGCGAACTCAGGGAAGGTGGACAAATTCCAGGAGGTCCCAGGGCTTGGGCTTTCTCACCTCTGCCAGGGCAGGGCATAAAGTAGTCTCGGACATCCAGAGGGTATTTAGGAAACACCATTCCCGTGACAGGGTTGAAGCGCAGGAATTGGTTACCCCGGAAGCAGTAGTAGCGGCTGAGCCATCGCATGGCAGAAGAACAGTTGCCAACAGCCTGCCAGGAACGTTCCTTTTTGGTTTTTGTAGTGAAGTCCCAGAACCACGTGCGGTTGCCTTTGTCCAATCAACCAACAAGCATTCAGTGAGGCCGGGCTGTGCCTTCCCTTGTGTTTGTACTGGCCCCAGGATGGACCAGATATGGTCCCCATCACGTGGAGCTCACAGCCCAGCAGGGAAACAGTTGAGGAAAGTAATCATACAATAAAATGGAGCAGCAAAGTACACGTGATCAGCTCAGCAAGGGCGGTGGGACGAGTCAGGGAAAGCTTTCCAGAGAAGGTGATACTTAAACTAAAATCTGAAGGAGGAGTTACAAGGCAGACAAGATGGGGAGATGTAACTCCAGAAACAAAAGTCTAAAGCATGAAGCAAATTGGGTGTACAGGGAACAGCATAGCGTTTCTGGGGCTTCATGTTCAAGGTAAGCGTTTGATGAGACTCAAGGCTGGAGGATCAATAGGGACTTGGTCATGGAGAACCTTGTATGTAAAACTAAGGAACCTAGATTTGTCCTAAGGGTCATGGGGGACAATGAGGGACTTTTAGCAGAATTACACCCAGTTACCTTCTCCAGGATGACTTCCCCTCCTTCCCCTACTTGACCACTAGACCATAATTGGCTTCTCTACTCCTTCCCTTCATCAGGAAACCATATAGTGGTTCCACCACCACCACCATCCCTACCACTACCTCTATAACCACCAACCTACCACTACCCCAGGCTCTCTTATTCCAGCCTGGACTGACCTTGGAAGAACAAGACACCCTCACTTCTGCATTCTGCAGTGTGACATTCCACAGCTGCATCCACTGGGGATGGGATTCCAGGAAACTCCTCTTGGAGCAACTTCGGATATTCCTTCTTATAATGAGGGTATACCCAGACTCTGTCCCCCTGCATGCAAAAACATGCTATTTTTAGTGTGCACGCCAGATACTGCCACTCTGCCGTCCCACACATCTTTGATCTATTGCACTTACATAATATCCTTCTGCAGTCCCACACACTCTCAGTCCATCTGTGGACAACAGTGTGCTGTCCCCTTGCACAACTTCAGTTTGTGCAAATCCCATCACTGTTACTGTACCACACACAACTGTCTATGTACAACCAGATACTCCCATGGCACAATTATCTGCAATACCACTGGTTTTGGCAAACACATCCACAAATAGTCATCCTGCAATCATCCATCCATTCATACATTCATTTGTTCATTTATTCACTCAAGAAACAGTTGCTGAATGACTTACCATATGCCAGGCATTGTGAGAGGCACTGGGGATAAAGGGGTGGCAAGACTCTGTCTCTGCCTTCAAGGAGTTCACTGTACAAAAGCAGAAAGGATCCTACAATCCTAGCCATGTGAGCCCCAAGGTGGAGGCATGTGAAGTGCACTGGGAATAAAGGGGGAATACCTAAGTCAACCTAGAGAATTCCTGGAAGGCTGCACAGAGGAGGAGGCATTTGGGCCAAGAGTTAAAAACTGAGCAGGAATATTCCAGGTAGACAAGTGTGGACTGGGCGTTATCAGCAGAGGGAGTAGCATGTACACAGCATGCTCATGTGGCTGGCACACAGTGAATGTGGTGGAGGAGGAGATAAACCTGTAGAGATAACCAGGGTCCAGGTCTCAAGACCCATGTGCACCTGGCTTGCAGGAATCAGCACGTGGTGGTACCATTTGCTGAAACAGGGAACTCAGGAGGAGGGGTGAATTTGTACAGAAGATACTGAGCTCCGTTTGGGGGATGCTGAATCTGAGGTGCCTACGGAACGTCTAAGTTGAAGATGTCAGCCTGGAAATCAGAAAGAGATGTCTGGAGCTCCGAGGAGAGATCCAGATCTGGGGTCCACAACGTGGAGAGAACTCAGAGCCGTGGCAGTGGTTGAGATCACCCAGGCAGGGTGTATGGAAGGGCTGGGGAGGATCCCCAAGAAACATTCAAGGCGTGGCCCAGGATGAGAAGCCTGAGAAGAGCAGGAAAAGAGGCAGGAGGGAAAACAAAGCTGGTAGCGAGGGCCGCCCCGACCACACAGCATCCTTGTGCGAGTCAGGGGAAGGTGCTAGGAGCAGACACAGGCTGGGCCAAGGCCTGGGACTTGACAAGCACAGTGGGCTGGATCTCATCCTCCACTTGCCCCTCGGCCAGGTACCACTGTGTTGTGAACAACCTGGCAACCACAGGAAGAAGACTTGACGCAGGGTCGTGGAAGCAAGGGAAGAAATTTCCCGGAAGGAAAGGATGGTGGACAGATTGAGGAGTAGCAGAGAGGTGTGGACGCAGATTAGGACTGAGGAAGAGCCACTGGCTGTTGTGCTTCCCAGGCCCGCGTGCACACCGACTCCCCTAGCCTGAGCTTTCTCAGAAAAGGCAGGCGCAGGGGGAGGAAACCTGGAACCTGTTGGTAAGGGCTCCATGCCAGGGCCACTTGGCGGAGGGTCTCTAGTGTTGATTCCAGCACTTCCTGGCCTGGCCGTGACCTTGGCCCAGCCGTACCTTGATCAGAAAGACTCTGTCATGACCATGGCGGAATGCAGCATCCACGGGGCCGGGGACATCCTTCCACCTCTCTGAGATTAACTCCCGAGTCCAGTCTTGACCCTTCCACACGAACTCCCCTGCAAAACGCACACTCACTGAGGGACACGGAACAAACTTTTGGCCTACTGAGCTAGTTACAAAGAAGCTATGGGTGATACTCTCAGATAATTCCTACGATCTCCCGCAGATGGATACACCCTCGATGAAGGGGACCAAGTCTGAGGTCCCAAATGCCCCAATCCCAGCCCCTCCTACCTTTAAAAAACAGCATAGTCCCATGCTCATCCAGGGTAGTAGCATCAAAGCCCCAGCCATCCGAGCAGCGTTCTGGGAAGGAGGTGGGGCGATAGCAAATAAAAGGCCAGTCAGATGATACAGCGCAGAGACACAGCTAGACAGATAGACTCAGGAAGTCAGGGTCTCACCGATCACATCGGGGTCCAACTTGGTTGCATTCCCACGTTCAGCTCCATGCCTAGGGGCATTAGCCCTAGAGAGAAGACACGGAGATGTCTGGCTCCACAGGGTCCAATCCCTCTCCTTTAGCTCCTGACCCCAGACTTGCCCCAGACCTAAAAACTGACCCTAGCCCACTCTTTTTTTTTTTTTTCTTTTTTCTTTTTTTGCGGTACGCGGGCCTCTCACTGTTGTGGCCTCTCCCGTTGCGGAGCATGGGCTCCGGACGCGCAGGCTCAGCGGCCGTGGCTCATGGGCCCAGCCGCTCCGCGGCATGTGGAATCTTCCCGGACCGGGGCACAAACCCGTGTGCCCCGCATTGGCAGGCGGACGCTCCACCACTGCGCCACCAGGGAAGCCCCCTAGCCCACTCTTAATCTGGAGCCCGGTCCTCCTCCAGCCCCGGCTTCACTCACAGAGAAAGAGGATGGGCGTTAGCCAGAGACCAGCACAAGCCCAACAACCACGGTACAACTGGTGTTCCCAGTGCCCGAGCCATGATGAGCTGGAGAGGCCACAGGACAGTTCTGGGCCCCTGGATGAGCCCCTATATAGGCATGGCAGCAGCACCACCCCACCTCCAAGCCTGCTGGGAATGAGATCTCTCAGGGCTATGCCAATATTGGCTGATTACATCAGTGCAAATAAGGTCAGGGTCTGGACAGAAATCTGAGTCCAAGACTAACTCTTCCCGGCAGGAGGGCCATCCCCCTTCAGTGACTTTTGAGCAGTGACTAGCCCAGCCCACTGGTGTTCGACTGTGACTCTCTTCACCTTGGTGATGGGTCTGAGTGCCCATAAGGTCGGGAAAGGGGGTAGATTGATTGAGGGCCACCTTTCTGTGGTTGGATTTACCTCAACAATGCAGGAGGAGAGAAGAGGAAAGGAAAATATTTGTGTACGGTGCCGTGCCCAGCTCTGAGACCCCTAAGGACACTGACACTTACATATACTGAGTAACCACACACATACACTAACACACTTAGAACTGCTCAGAGAACAGCTTCTTCCAAGCTCCATCAGGGGCCTTTTGGGGGCATTCCCCAGCCTCTTTAGCTTTACACTTGATGGGTCAATAATATTTCACTGTTGCCAAAAGTCCAAGTTCCACCCTAGCCCCCACCCCCATTGACAAAGAGCTTTGCAAAACTCACCTGGGAGGGAAGGGCTGACAGTAATGGTGCAGGAAGAGGTGTCTCTCTTCCAGAGAGACCTACTAGTAATTAGACTTTCTCCGTAGTTTCCACCTTAAGGGGAAAGTGTTTTGTTTACCTATCACAGAATAAATAGAACTGTACTGGGGTTTCACAATATTTACAGTTGATTCTTGCTTAAATGTTATCCTCTCAATGAAGCCTTTCTTGACCACCCCTTCTAGCTATTTCAGACTCTCACTTGTTTCCTTTGTTACTTAATAAAACTTGAAATTATTGTCTGTCCGCTTACGCTTCTGCATGCTTGTACTTTGTTTCTTTGCTTGTTTTGATTTGCCTGTTTTATGTACCATTACATTTTTTAAAAAAATTTTTGCCACACCACGCAGCATGTGGGATCTTAGTTCTCCAACCAGGGATCGAACCTGTGCCACTTGCATCGGAAGGGCAGAGTCTTAACCACTGGACCACCAGGGCAGTCCCTGTACCATTACATTTTCTCCATCTAGTACCTGGCATGTACAGGCATACCTCAGAGATATCTCAGGTTTGTTCCAGACCCTTGCAATAAAGTGAATATTGCAATAAAGTGAGTCAAACAAATTTTTTGGTTTCCCAGTGCATATAAAAGTTATGTTTACATGGGACTTCCCTGGTGGCACAGTGGTTAAGAATCTGCCTGCCAATGCAGGAGACACGGGTTCAATCTCTGCTCTGGGAAGATCCCACATGCTGTGGAGCAACTAAGCCCGTGCGCCACAACTACTGAGCCTGCGCTCTAGAGCCTGCAAGCCACAACTACTGAGCCTGCGCTCCAGAGCCTGCGAGCTACAACTACTGAGCCCTCGTGCCACAACTACTGAAGCCCACATGCCTAGAGCCCGTGCTCTGCAACAAGAGAAGCCACCGCAGTGAGAAGCATGCCCACCGCAACAAAGAGTAGCTCCCGCTTGCCACAACTAGAGAAAGGCCACGTGCAGCAAAAAAGACCCAACTCAGCCAAAAATAAAATAAATTTAAAAAAAATAAAAAATTTTTAAAAGTTATGTTTACACTATACTGTAATTTATTAAGTATGTAATAGCATTAGGTCTAAAAAACATGTACATACCTTAATTTAAAAATACTTTATTGCTAAAAATGCTAACCATTGTCCGAGCCTTCAGGGAATTGTAATCTTTTTACAACAGTAATATCACAGATCACCATAACAAATATAATAATAATGAAAAAGTTTGAAATATTTCAAGAATTACCAGAATGTGACACAGTGACATGAACTGAGCAAATGCTGCTGTTGGAAAAAAGGTGCCAACAGACTTGCTCAACACAGGGTTGCCACAAACATTCAATCTGTAAAAACAATGCCACATCTGTGAAGTGCAATAAAAACAAGTATGCCTGTAATAGATGCTCAATAAATATTTGTTGAATGAAAAAAGTTAATTTCAAGTACTGCATAGTGTTACTAACGTTGCAGCCAAATTGCTAACAATTTTCCTGCTTCTGGGGTAAGGAGAATATCAGGATTGGGGGTGTGTTACTTTGGAGGCATGTTGTGATCTAAGGGTCCCAGGTCTCCTTGGCACTGACCATCTTATGGTCTTGTTTCTCTCTCCAGTGTCCTTGCCCTACATCCCTCTCCTCCTCTTAGCCCTGCTATCTCTGGTACCTGCTATCTTCGGCACTCACTGGGGCTACTCCCAAAGTCTGCCCCATTTCTATCTGAGATGTAGTTACAGGAGACAAATATGGGCAGAGTCAGCTCTGGGCCAGGCTGAGGTTCCAGGATCCCTGTTCCCCAGTCCAGCCTGAAGGAGCCCTGATCCCTCCCAGATGCCCTTGACATATATAACCTTAGCAAAGGTCTCACTTGCCTTATCTACTCTGCGAAGATTCCTCCTAACAGGAAGACAGAGATTTCTGGGACCTCTGGAACAGCGTGTCATCACGCCTCTGCCAAAAGCCTCAGCATCCTCTCCTGACTTGCAGTGGAGACAGCCATGTTAACAGCATTCCTCCCCTTAGGTTAGTGAACAAAGCTGGACTCCCCAGGCCCTTGGCCATATGGAAAGTGCCTCGGCTCCCTCAACACATACCTGACACCCACCTTCTCCCACTGCAGGGCGTCTCTGACTGCACCTGCTTCCCCCCAGCTGCTGGGCACTGGGCACTGGGGGCCGCTACTCCCAGACTCCCCCTCTCCTGTTCTTTAGCCTCTCAAACCTTATATAACCTTCCTGGGATTCTCCCTGCTTGAGCACCCTGTGAACCTTTCATCAGCAAACCCCTCAACAGCTGTCTCTAGCTCCAGAACTGTGTCTGCGTGTCCTGCAGATTTCACTGAGCCTGCCTGGGGAGATGGAAGCGTTCACACCGAGTCCCGGACACCCCTCAGAAAACCCACAGTGAGGGTCTTCGATAGTTGTGCTGGCAGGGCCCCGCACAGGCCTGCGGGTCCAGGCAGCAGCCTCCCTGTGCCCTAGCCGGGCTCTTTGAGGGGAGACAGCACATATACTGGATGGCGGTTTTTCAGCTCAGCCTCTTCTTTCCCACACAGCTCTGGTCCCCTTCATGGCACCCCTATCTACCTGTCGCAGAAGAGTGATTTGTGGCACTTTTCCAGTGTTTCCTAATTTGCTTGTCTACCCTAAGGTGGCTTAGATGCCATAATTGGAAGCCTTCCTCCTTCCTCCCGCCCACTCCCATCCCCCCAGCCTCTCAGGGACTAGACTAGCACAGAGTCTTCTACATGGCAGGCAGCTCAGGTCGAAGCTCATATTCTGAGCAGGGGCTGAGAGGCCATTTGAGAACCCAGGCTGTGGATATGTTGGCCATCCTGGTGCTGGTAACAGGGCACAAGGCAACTGTTCTCAGGGGGCCCAAGATAGGGCTGGCCTTGCTTCTCTTCTCCTCACTTGAGACGGCTGTTTCTGCTTGTCCTGAGTCCTTCCCAGCGCTCTGGCTTCGGCTCAGGACAAAGCGCTTGCCCATACTTGGGCCTGAGCGCCCCCTGGAGGCCGAAGGGATCAGTGCGCTCCCACCCTTCGACCAGAGGCCACAGCCCCGGAGTTTTTCCTCCCAGAAACTGGCTCCCTACAGCCTTCCTCCTTCGCTCTTCTCAGCCTGGCTGTGGGGCCTTAGTGCCACGTCCTCTCCCTCTGCAAATCTCTGCTGCCCAGAGCGGGTGTGGGGATCTCAGTCTCTTGCTTGATTTCTTGGGGAATTCAAGCCCAGAAATATACAACCGTCCCCTTTTCCATGTAGCCTTCCCAATCCTCATAACAAGCAGCTTTCTGGCTTGCCCCTAAGGCAGTCTGAATATGGGCCTGCAAACATCTTCATGGACAGAGCTTTCCCCTGCATTGCCAGGGACCACATTTAAGCCGGACACTGACCCACTGTCCCTTGGAATGGATGTGTACAGCCTGCCCTGCTGTCATCTGAGTTCTCTGACCTCACTTACTTCTTCTGGGTCCACTGAGTGCTGCCTGTGCTGGGCCTGCTGCCTGTGGCTGTGTACTCCAGGGAGCAGAGACTGGATTCTCCCTTGCCCTGGGCTTAGAAGAATTGGGATACAGCTCCAGGTACCAAAAAGTGCTTGCTGCTCCCAACCAACTCCTCCAGGATTTTCTCTTGCTCTGTTTCTAATGGACCTTCCTGCATAGTCTATTCTTGCTTCCCTATGAATAACTAATTATAATAATAATTTGCTCATATCTGTTGGGCACATGTACGTGCCTGGCATTGTGCTAAACACTTAACATGGATTATTTTATTAAATCATATTATTGGTATGATTTAATAAAATATATACTGTATTATTAGTCCCATGTTACACATGGGGAAACCGACTTTTGGTGTCTTAGCCAAAGCCCATTATTAGCAAGTGGTAGAGCCATGATTAAGATCTGACTGCCTGACTCCCTGGGGTGTGCTCTTTACCCTCTCAAGGGGTGTCTTGTGCATGTTTAACAGCCAGCTTTCCAGAAGGGAAAAAGCCCTGATTTGTAGCATTTATTAGTTTCTGTGGTGTAAATACTCCTATCACGGCCATCTTCAAGCTACCAACAAGCATCTTCAAGCTGCATCGTCTCATGGAGTTGAGAAGAAAGGCACAGTAACATACTACTTACTATGTGGTATTTCCACCTTGCAGATAGGACACATATAAATAAGCCCGCGAGCACAGGTAATAGTAAAATGCAGTAAAATAATTAGGAAGTGATGAGTTTTGAGTATTTATTATATTTGATTTTAATAAAATGAATTTAATTTTAAATTTACATAATTTAATTTTTAAATAATGGCTGAGTTTTCAACAATCAGTTGTCAAAATTCCTGCAAATTTTGGGAATCCCCTGGTGGTCCAGTGATTAGAACTCCGAGCTCTCACTGCAGAGGGCCTGGGTTCAATCCCTGGTCGGGGAACTAAAATCCCACAAGGTGTGGCACAGCCAAAAAAAAAAAAAATTCCTGAAAATTTGACAGTGAGCCCTCGTGGGCCAGTATGAACCAGCTCCAGCACTGCACTGTTCACCATCCTGCCTTAATGAACAGGACCAGGATTTTATCTGCTTTATTCAATGCTGTATCTTCAGTGCCTAGAGCAGGGTCTGAAACACTGTATGTGTTTAATAAATATTGAATTCTATTGTTCCTACTTCCTAATTAGACCTAAGAGTGCAAACACCATCATTTCTTATCTGATTACTGAAACAGCCTCTCCCTCTCTGCTTCTCCTGCCCCTCTATAACACGTTCTTTGTAGCAACCATGGTACTCTTCAAAAACATATCTGAGACCACATTATGCTCCAGCTTAAAAGTCTTTTTTCTTGAAGATAAAAATCAGTCTTAATTCTACTAGCCAGAGAACACCACTATATATTGACATTTTGTCTATTCCAGTCTTTTTCTATTCTTGCAATTTCCTTTTTAAAACAAAGGTATGATTTTATAAACCTTTTTTTCTGGGACTTCCCTGGTGGCACAGGGGTTAAAAGTCTGCCTGCCAATGCAAGGGCACGCGGGTTTGAGCCCTGGTCCGGGAAGATCCCACATGCCGCGGAGCAAC